TCCTCCCTTACGCATATTTCAAACTTATCACCACTGTTAGGAACCTGCCGCAGCCCGATTTGTCGTGGTTCAGGTTTTTGGATCACGGTTATCCATTAGTGCGCTTTTCTTATTTCATTTAAAACTTAATGAACTTCGGTAGCAAGTGTTAGTATAATTTATATTTGCTCAAATTTTAACGAAACCTGACTTCTATGTATAAACCGTTCAATCGTTTTAGACAGTCTGTTTTCTAAACCTCTAAATGAACGGCTACCGGACTGAAAATGGCCGCATTTGGTCTGTGTTCATCAGCCGCGGAACGGTGATTGGAACATCGATCCTCTATCTAGAACGCGCGCGTCTTTGTCATCTGGCGCAGTGGCAAGTAAACGCCATCTGGGCGCAATATTTCCTTTGTCGTCTTTTCTGCTTCCTTTTGTTGGGATTGATCACCGGCCCCTCGAGGGCTTATTCCACGGAGAAAAGAGTCCAAAGATACTGAGCGACTCCGAGCATATTGAGATACGAATTCAGATTTAGATGTTTCAGTCCGTCAATGTAATGGTGGGTAATGGCAATTCTCCACGACGTTTGGTTAAGTGTTTGTTTAATTAAAGAAATGTGGTAAGGTTGATTCAATGATTCTCTAAGAATACGAATATTCCGAAGTGCCCATTTCCATTTGGGGATAATGTCAGAAATCTCGTTACTTGTGAACAAATGTTTAAAAGGAATGAACTCCCCGCTCAAAGATTGGATCGTATAGAGGGGGGCTCATATATCTCACACTATCTCACGCTATCTCACGCTATCTCACGCTATCTCACGCTATCTCACGCTATCTCACGCTACTCTCACGCTATCTTCACGCTATTCTACGCTATCTCACGCTATCTCACGCTATCTTCACGCTATCTCACGCCTATCTACCGCTATATCTCACGCCTATCTCACGCTATCTCACGTATCTGCACGCCTATTCACGCCTATCTCACTGCTCATTCAGCTTATCTCACGCTATCTCACGCTAATCCTCCGCTAATCTCACGCTATCTCAACGCTATCTCACGCTATCTCACGCTATCTTCACGCATCTCTACGCTGATCTCAACGCTATCCTCACTTGCTATCCTCCACGCTATCTCACGCTATTCCGCTATCTCACGGATATCTCACGCTATCTCACGCTATCTCACGCTATCTCACGCCTATCTCCACGCTTATTCACGCTATCTCACGCTATCTCACACTATCTTCTACGCTATCTCACGTATCTCACGCTATTCTCCACCTCTCATCTCTACTCTATCTCACGGCTATCTCTCACCTAATCCTCACTTACTCGATCATCACTGCTATCTCCGTCTACTCTCATCTCACGCTTCTCACTCTATCTCAACGGCTATCTCACCTATCTCACTGCTATCACTCAAGTCTTCACCTATCTACTGACTTCTCAACTCTATCCGTCCATCTATGCTCCACTCTATCTCAACTCTATCTCACTCTATCCTCACTCTATCTACTCCTATCGTCACTCTAACCCATCTCACTCTATCCTCATCTCACCTCTATCTCACACTCACTCTCTCACTCATTACTCTCCACTCCTAGTCTCAACACTATCTCAACGTCAATATTATCATGATTTCTGAGAAACGCTATTACAAAATAGTTAGCTGCACAAATAATTTTCCTTATTAGAACGACCTTATATATACTTGTAATATAACTGTAGTTTACTTCATATAAAACGGAAATTAAATGGAAAAATAACACGGAAAGTTTATATAAATCTCGAATATACTATATATATATATAATATATATATACTAAGTATATTATTACACAGCACTCAGCCAAATTGAATGGGACACCTGTGGATTGTTTTCCGCGTCAAGTGAAGTGAGGTAAATAGTAATTCACCTCAATTGAGATTGTTGGAAATACTTTTGTTTGCACGCGGTACACAAATTCAATTTGGGCTAAAAGCACATTATTTAGAAATCTATTAATCAATAAATGAACACGAAGATGATATGCTCTGACTACCCATGCGGTGTTTTTTGGTCTGAACACCAGTATAGACTGATTTTATCAAAATTTTTATTGATGACGTGACAATGCTTTCCAAGCGACTGATTCCATCAAATGAAAATCGACAGTAAAGAATGTACGATAAAAACAGTATGAAATGCTATAAAATACCGCAAAATGAAAATGACCATTGCCTTGATATGAATGTAAAATGCACATATGATATGGTCAGCATTAAAACGATAAAACAAAATGTGATAATAAAAGAAGCTACTTCACAGATTTAAGACGTTAGAATTGTAATTGTTCTACCTACTATCACATATTCTATGGAACAGTTTTGGAAAATTCTATTGTGATACCTACAAAATCAGAACTGCTTCTTAAGAATTTGTTATTCTAATTCGAATGTCCTGATTCCATTAGCGTGTTTTTGAAATTGATCTTAAATTTTTTCAACATTTACAATATTAGAAATGTGAAAGTACTAAGTATAGAAGCATCATACTATTATTGGGACCAATAATTGGCAGTTGATCGTTATATAATTTATCTATTTCCCGTCAAGGATGCTAAGTAATGTGCTACAGTTCCATCGAAATTTATATTTACTTAAAAATAGTTCGCGTGTCCTGCACTTTTACGGTTTTCTTCTGGATCGCATTCACTAGGTTAACAACCTGTTGCGTGCGTATTGATTGTTGAAGATAAAAATAAGAATTTGTAGGGGGAATCCTATAAGAGAATACGTACTGAGGTGACCTTTGTGCGAAAAAACACAGAATTGTTCTTACAAAACAAAGATATACCGGAAATGACCAGGTAGATTGGAAGGGTTCTGAGTAAAATGTTTTTTTAGTATCTTTAGTTACCTATGTAATGCCGTAAAAACGTGTCGATACGAGATACGCTGTCCCTTTTCACTTTCTCCACTTACTACATTCATGTGTTGATAAGGAAATGCATCGTAATGCTGCAGCGGAAAGGCGCTTCTTTTCAGGAAAACAATGTCGAATTTTGTGACTCTGAATCGCAAAATTGGGTAAATTGTGTTCGTATTACACTGTGTAGTGAGAATCCACTTGTTCCAATACAACGAGATACTGATACGGGATACAGTGGATACTGATACCGAAAAATGATACGTTGGTGCCGAAAAATGATACGTTGGCGCCGAAAAATTGGTTTGCGAAAAAACGTCTGTGCGTCTGTTGTCATTGCTAATCTCTAAACCTGTCAGCCCGACAAATTTTCACCAAAATTGATGTTTCTCGGTAGATCACGCTGAACTCGACACCCTGCAAATTTGAAATGGAATGGATATTTTGATTTTTTGGGGGTACTTTACATGAAGCGTTAAAATTTTCTCACTTCGCTAAAAAATACCCCATTTTTTAATGTATAGAGATGTATATGCTTAAAAATGCCGCATTTTTCGTTGCCGTAATTTTCGTTGAACTCGCTGAATTTTTGAAATTGAAAAAGGCTAACATTGCAGAACTAGAATATTGATGATAAATCTTTTTCTCTTAATACACTACAAATTAGATCTTTAAGAGGAGTCTTTTTCATTTACCAAATGTGAAAAACACATCATTGTAATATACACTGTTTAAACATTTTTGAAGTTATATTTCTTTACCTCAAAACGTCAGGTATTTTCGTTACAGTTATTTACGTTATATCGTTTGAACGAACCCACTTAGAAAGCTGTTTTTTTCACTAAATGTTGAAGGTTCATTATTTAATGGTTCTTGTAGCGCAAAGATTGATTTTCTGTGATTATTTCCGCGGCGTCTGTGTTTTGTATACTTGTTACCATGACGAGGTGATTAGGTTCGTGGAAGGACTAACTTCGACGCTGACCTGAAAATGGATATTTTGGAACACTTGCCCCGTTCTCTCTGAAACTTCTTAGCTGAATATTTTAATTTTCTCTGAAGGATGCCAATTAAGTTATAATATATGGTTGCAAAATGATCACAGTAAATTTCATACTTGAGCATTTGCCTCGGACTGCAAAAATCCTTAAATAAATTGATATGAGAAAGATAGGGCTTTATGAATCACTTTAAATAAAGGTATGTAGAATTTTTTGAAAATACATGTTGTTTTCACGTAATTTTTACATGAAATAAAAGTAATATATATTTTAAACTTCTCTAATTTTTTCACGATTAGAACAAAGTACGTTTACAAATCTAGGCAGACTTTATTTTCTTTGCACTTTCTGAATTTTCAAACGTTACAAACTATAAAAAAATGTAGTAAATTATATAGAATAAACTAATGATAGTATTCAAATGGAAAATAAAGTTTTCGTGATTTTTAAGCAATTCTAGGAAATTTTTAAAAAATAGCTCCAATTTTCCCTTGTTTTTTTCATCATTTTTTTTCTTACTCTAACTTTACTATTTTCATCCCTGTTATCAGTATCAGCATTGAAATAAAAATATCTGGTTAATCAGTGAATACCGCGGTTTCAGGAAGGTAAAGATTTTTTCACAAATGTGATAAGGTGTCACCTAAATAAAAGAGGTTACTATTGTAACCCAGAAAAGTCGTTAAGCTGACACTACGTTGTCAAGAAAGATTACCTTGCTAACAGCTTTTTATTAGAGGAAATAAGTAAGATCGTAAAGCCTGTCACTCTCGCAGTATTGAACATTCTTACAAAGTCGTTCGTGAAGACGGGTTGGCTCATTTCGCCCTTCGTCATTGAGCGATTCGAGCAGCGGGGGCCGGGCGTGGGGCGAGAGATCGTCTCGTCCCATCCCGTCCCGTCCCGTCCCGTGCCGTCCTGCCCTCGCCCCGCCCTCGTCCCATGGCCGCGCGCAGGCGCCCCTTTCGGTCGGGCGGCGGAGAGGAAGCGGGACGGAGGCGGAGCGGAGCCGGGCCAGTGTAGCCCGCGCTCTCGCAGCAAACGGGCGGCGTCGAGCACAGCCCCCACATCGGCGCGCGCTCTCTCTCTCTGCCGGCAGGCCAGCAGGCGAGCCAAGCAGGCAGAGGCAGGCGCCAGCGCAGTCGGCGCCGCGGACCAGCCCGACGAGGAAGCTGCCCCTGCCGACGCCGACCCGCCGAGCAGCCCGCCCAGCACTGCGTCGCGCCACCCGCGCCCGCCTTCGCGCAGGTACCACTGCTTCTCTCGGCGAGAGCTCTTAGCTTTGAAAGAGACACAAATATGAGAAAACTATGATTGTCACGTCAATATTAATCATCGCCGTCACAAATCTAATAAACAATCAAAATGTCTCGTATTTTTAGCTTTTCTTTTGTATGGACATATTCTTGTTAATGCGGCGGAAATATAAAAGTTGTGGAAATTCCATCTATCGTCGTGCTGCTTTTCCTTCGCAGGTGGTCGTCTTGTTTTCTGATTTCGGGCTTTTCGTTGTTTTTTTCTTTGATGTACAGCTTTTCGGTTTCATTTAGTATTACATAAGCGAACTCTTGAATTCGACGTCAAATTTGTAGAAATTCTCACTCTTATTGCGCGCACTTGTCTAAGCGCAAGTACGCCGTCTGTTCGGACTTCTCTTGTCATCTTGAAATTCTTGGTTTTCTTTTTTCAACTTAATCTTCTCGGTTTCCTTTTCCCAGCTAGAGCATTTCTGTTTATTTCGTGTGAACTTCCGCCGACTCCTGTGGATTCGAAATCGAACGTCGGATTTCACGAACTTTATGCCATGCGTTTTATATCCGTACACATACGTTGTCTTTTAGAACTTGTTGTCTAAAAGTTGTCTAAACTGGTGTTCTTTTCTATGTACTTCAATGCAGTCTTGTTAATTTGAAGAAGAGTCCAATTTGTGGAAATTTCACACTTGCCGTTGCATCAAAATCTTCGCGCAGATGTTTTTTTGCCGGCCTTTTTTCTTGTTTCCACCTTTTTATATTAATATGAAATTCTTTGCTCTGTGTTATATGAATTGTTTGCTTTTAATGGGAAAGTAATTTCCGGTCTTCTAAACTTCGAGATAACCAAAGCACACCACGCATTTATTTCCATACATGCACGTTTTTATGTACTGTTTTTTATTTCAAGATTCGATATTGTTTTGAATGAACGTTTCTTATTATGAACGGGTTCTTTTTCCACATTTTTAGTGATTTTATAAAAAAATGTTAAACGTATCTGAACGTGGAATTGATTAACGATCGTTGCACATCTTTCATCCTGTATTTTTCGTCACTGACTTAGTGCCGTATGTGAGTCGCCGGCTTGCTTTTATTAAAAAATAGAATTTCTTTCAAATAACTCCTATACTCGATGTAATGCGAAGACACTCTGTTGATTGTGATGTAATGTAATGTGAAGAAATGTTATTGATTCAATTGAGATAACGCAAGATATAGCCCTCGTACATGCGTAATTCTTTTAGAACGTTTTTGTTAGCTCCATCAGTTTTATTTTGTTTCTTTTCTGGACTCATTCTATAATTTATAGTAACTCAAAATCCAAAGAACTTACACACGCTCGTACTCGGACAGGTTCGTTTAGTCAGCTGATAGTTATTCGCGTCAAACTCAATGTTTCGTTTTCTACGTTCGATGATAACTTGTTCGTAAAATTGTTGCACTTATTCGACGAGGGCTTAAAATGATGAATTAAGAGTTACTCAAAATTGCATCTCCACACAGATAGGTCATCGGTCTTAGTTTTCTAGTTGTGTCGTGCCTTTTTACCCCTCGATTCGTGTTTCACGTTTCTTACGTTTTGGAACGTTTATCGGATCTTTCGTATGTTTAGAGTGAAACATATCTTCAGCGGTCACAATCGGTTCCAGACAAAATTGGTTTTAACTTGAGTGGTCATTTAATGAAGGTTATATGGCGACGTGAACGTTTTGTTCAGCATAGAAACTCTTACACCCTCTCTTTAACTATACTAAGTTAATTTCTGAATAAACTCAGAATAGCTACTAATGTTTTAGGCGAAATTTGATATAAATATTCGCACCCTTGTAATGAAAACTATGTTCAATGGAAAATAAGCTACAGATTTTCGATCGTATCTCTTGTAGTGCTCTATCTGAAGGAATCAATTTATTGCTGCAAGAACGCCTCTCTGTAAAAGAAATAATTTTCTCTTACACGTAAAGAATCCGAAATTTGAATGTTGTCGAAAATTGTCGCCGCCAGGTTGCTTCTCGTGCCGTGCACCCTTTTTCTTACTTTTTATTTTTATATATAGAAATTTGATTATCTTTGTTACGACATATTTCTGCTGTGGATCTGATAGCCGTTATTCTCGGTTTTGTGCTGTGTATTTTCCCACTGCTTACCGCGAGCCTCGTCACTTTCCTTTTAATCTTTTTCTGCATTTTCCCCCTTCAATTAGTAAGTGCAGTTCGTTCGTTTCATTTGGAAAGTAAGTGCAAAGTCATTATTTTAACTGTTCGGGGAACCATGCAAAATCGCGAATATACAGAATTGGAATTAACGATCGTCTTCTGGAGCTAGTAGCCCGCCAGCCGGCCGCTGCGCGGGAACGGTATTTTTTGTGTAGGTATTCATTATTTTTGAATTGGGGTGCTAGAGAGTGCAGTTGCAATTCGTAAGTTTATAGTTGGAACAGCTGTAAAATTGATTCGAAGAAGGAAAACGCAAAAAGTGGCCCTGAAGAGAATTAAAACAGTTTTTTTGCTTTATAAAATAATGAAAGAAAAGAACATTTGTCTTCTGTTTAACTAAGATTCACTTTCTAGACACTACCCGTAGGATAACATGAAGTACTGTATGCATTTCATTAAAAGGTTGATATATTTCATATACTGTTTTGTAATCAATATGGAATCCGTTTTGTTTAAAAATAGCTTTCGAAATAAAGCTTTTTGTATATTTTAAGAAGTAATAACACAAGTAATAACATTTGCTTTCATCAAATTATTTTTTTTTGAATGAGGATTAAAAAAATCGTTAGGAAATGGAATCTTATTGTCTACTAAAATGTAAAGGTTAAGAAAATCGTCACCGTTATTCAGAAATAATGTTCTTTGATGTAACTTTGTAAGGGAATCAACTATGCGTATTACAGTTAACTAAATAACAAAGCTGATCAAACAAATTCATACTGTTGAAACCAGGAAGCTTCACATTTCGCTGTAGCTTGCTTGAAATGAGTCTCGCGGCATCGATGAGTTATCCCCGTGTTCGATGGTATTTTTTTTATCTGCTCCTAATCATTGTGACATCGAACGTGGACTAATTCTCCCTTAACTTAGTCTTTTGTACGTCAGGTCGTGAGGTTATTCCTATCGCCCAGGGGCTCAGGGCTGTTAGTGTATGGGCTTGCCAGACTGTCACCCATCCAGGGAGATGATGCCTCGAGCTGCTTACCTTCCGTGACAGCACAGAGCTTGGCCATGACGTTCAGCCACCGGCATGGGGGCCCTTCCGGTTTTTTTCTTAACTAGGTGGGAACTCTAAATATTCCATGTGTTGGAAATCCAAATGTAAAAGCAACCGAAATTTATAAACAACAACATTGAAATAAATTTATCACGTCTTAAAAATTAATCAGTAGGAACGTTCTTCATAATAACTACGTTTACTGTAACCCAATAAGAAATATTCATCGTTAAAAATATTGATTTGGGGAATCGGGTGATGATTTGTGTATAATTTTTTGTGTCTTTAGATATGTGACGTAGTTCTTTTTCCGGATGCATCAATTAATTCATTTGGTTCAACTCAGAAGGTTTGTGGTTATTGAATGTCAGATGTTCATAGCTCTTTGATCAGTAAACGATCAGTATCCATTTGTTGGTACTGTTATTTCTATATCAATCTGCTATTTTCTAGCATCACATCTGTATAATTCTTGCTTTGGGTTCACGGAATGTACTTTACAAGGTCATATTTATGGGAAATATCATAATTAGGGGAAATAATTTAAGGGAAATATCTTTATCGTTATTATTATTATTCAACAATTCACGTTATCCATGTCGAATTAAACATTTTATTTCGTATTTGTGTACTCAGAGTACCTGTATCTACAATATCGGAAAGATGAATATGTTTTGAGATTGTTAGGAAGACTTTTTTAGAAAAAAAAACATATCAACTTTTTGAAGCGAGTTTTCAAAGTTTTTAAATTTTTTATCACTTTAGAAAAATGCCGGTAAATCGTTTGTGATATGAGATTTTCGGTTGTTCGAGATAAATAAACTGACAGACAATTTAAAATATTCCTTTTCCGATATTCTCAAAATAATTTTAGGGACATTTAGAAGAAATATTGCGTTCTGTGAGTGGGATCGGCTCGTTTTAGGAGTTTGTACATTAGAGGATTCAGTTGAACTTGACATGACATTTTTTAAAAGTATTTACTTAGATGGCCAATTTATAGACATTTTTTGTATTCCTATGATTCGGGCTTTCTGCGTTTTGTCAATTATTTTTTCACAGAATCACAATTTGAAACGTTAGTCAAACATTCATTTCAACGGAAATAAATTAATGAACTGCTGTTATGATGAAACATCTTTTGTGCGACCCTTTCTAAAGAGTCTATTTTAAATCCGTAATACAGAATATTTTTCGTTTCCATATAATATTTTGTACAACGAAAAAGCATTGGAAGTTGCTTTTGATGTATCCACTCAATAAATTATCAGAAATCATCTCATTATACCAGGAGAGCCGCATTGTTCTTCACACCGTCGAGTTGCTTGTTAGTTTGTACGCAAGTCCCTCGACGCAAATACTCGTAACATTCACATGGAAATGTATTTGAATAATTCTTTGAAGTGTACGCTGAAGGCTCTGAAGTGGATTACGTGGAAAGGTCGTTTTGTCGCAGAATTAATTTACATTAATTTCGATGCCACCCGCTGAAATGTTTAATTTTCCAATGTTCTAGAATTTTACGAGTGATCCTTGAATTTTCTTTTTTTGCTATTCACGTTGTGAAAACCTATTTTTGTATGTACTCCCCCCAAAAAACCTTTAATTAGACACTTATTCTATTAGACAAAATCGCCATTGAAAACATGACATATAAGGAACTAATAATTGTTGATATGTATTGTGGGTTGAATTATATTGGTTTCCAATGGTAATAAAATAGATTTGATAACATTTGCAATTATGTGCACGCAACGCGCAAGGTCAGCTGTCCTTTCG